TCTGGAAGACCACTTTGGAAGGGTGGATATGGGCTCTCAACACATTGTTCGACAGAGCATATACTCACTACAAATGAAAGACGCCACTGATGCCTCGAACTATGTGGGACAGCACACTGTACTTCGCGAACATTTGCTTCACATGGGGGTGGTTTACACTGATGCTGAGGCAGTGTTTCAACTTCTACGCAGACTACCTTGGACTGGGACATGGCCCCAGTTCAAGGCTCTCCTGACTCTAACTCTTCCCGTGCACACTCCAGTTGTCACCACCACTACGACTGCCACTACCGCTTCTGCATCTACAGCTGCTACTGCCGGAGCTACCACCACTGTGGGCCCCTCATTCTTCCTCCCATCCGCCTCCACATTTGATACCTGTGTCACCCACATTTCTGCTGAAGCAGCTTGTATTATCAACAAACATGCTCTTGTGGGTGGCACACCTGGTTCAGAATATGCGAACATGGCTATGACTTCCTCCACTATGACTACTGGGAATGTCAACACCATCACCGGTCTTCGCAAACATCATCATAATCCTGATGGATTCTTCTGTACCACAGTTGGTTGTAATAAGGGGGATCATGACCACGTGCACTGCTATGTGAAGGGTGGCAGCATGGAGGGTCAAGCTCCCTGGATGAAGGGTAAGAGGAAGGAAAAAGAGAAGGAATCAGCTGCTGTTGCAATTACCTCTCCTGCTCCTGCTCCAGCACCAACCACTCTCCCTCCTTCTACCATCATCGGTGCTTTTGTGGGCACCAAAGCCACAGCTGAATCCTATCTTGCGGATCTCTCACGTGCTTCCATCATTGAGGCACCTGACACACCCCCACCTCCACATATGGACCCTGCAGTTTTTTCCTACATCGTTGCTGCAGGTTTCAACACCATCCTCAATTCAGACACCATGACCACCCTTATTTAAGACCACTCCTACTTCTGGTCTTACTCCACAGCTGATGCAGTTACTGTTTGCACTGCAAACCACGGCAACCTGAGTACCTCCGGTTGTGGTGACTGTGTTGCCATATTGACAATTGGCGGCAATAGGCATTGTGTTTGCCTCTTGAACTGCCTACATGTGCCTTCTGCCATGTTATCTGTTGTCTGTGGGATGGATGCTTGGTAAGGGATGGGACTGTGTCTTTTGCTCATCTCCACCAAGATGTGAGCTTGTCTACAGAGGTACTGAATTAGGAGCAATACCCATGGCAAATAATTTATGCTATGTTACTCTTGAATTCCTCCCTGCTCCATCAGCCAAGCTCTCTGTTGCAGCACCCAACATCCTGCCATCCCCACCTGACCTCTCAGCCTTCACACATGTCATGCCTACACTTGACCTATGGCATGCCCATCTTGGGCATATTGGTGGCGAGGCTGTCTGTTGCCTCCCTTTATTTGCCACAGGTGTGACTGTATCCCCAGGTGCAGTCTTATCTAAATGTGAATCCTGCATAATGGGCAAACATCCTCGTCATCCTCACCCTCCGTCTGACTCTCCTTGTACAGCTCAATTCCTTGACCTCATTCACTCTGATCTCTGTGGACCCATTCCAGTCCTCATGCCTCACAACAAGCACTATTTTGTCATCTTCCTTGATGACCACATGAACATGCTCAATCTTCAACTCCTGGCTACTAAAGATCAGGCTCTTGATGCATGGCGTCTGGTTCATGCTCGCTGGGAAAACCAATCTGGTCGGTGTGTGAAGATCTTCAGGTCCGACAATGGGGGTGAGTTTTTGAACGCTGCATTCACGGCAGAGCTAGAGGCTGCAGGTATTATACAACAGCTGTCAGCACCATATGCACATCAGCAGAATGGCAAAGCAGAACATGTAATATGTACTATTGAGGGTAGGATGTATGCCATGCTCGATCATGCCTGTTTACCTTGTTCTCTCTGGGGTGAAGTGGCTCTTTGCGCGGCTTACCTGTTTAACCGCACAGAGTCCCGTTCCCTTCTACCAGGGAAGACACCCTATGAGATGCTGCATGGCACGAAACCCAACATCTCTCACTTACGAGTATTTGGCGCCAGATGCTTTGTCTGTATTCCTGCCAAACTACAGGAGAAGTTGGGACCATGCTCACGTGAGGCAGTGTTTATGGGGTATCCACCAGGTGTTAAAGCCTGGCGTTGTTGTGACTCAGTCTCTGGCGCCTTCTTCAACTCACAAGATATTATTTTCAATGAGTCCTTTTTGAATTGTCCTTTCCCTGTCACCGATAGTGATGACAAAGATGATGATGTCATGCCACGTCAAATGGCCACTCCTCCCTCTGCACCTGCGCCATCCAATTCAGTAGTTGCCCCTCCTATCACCATATCTAATCCAATGTTTGCTCCAGTCCATTGTTCTGGCCAGTCTCAAATTCCCACAGAGTGAGGCCGTCTCTTCTGCGAACAGCTTGCCTCTGATGCATCACGTTGTAGCGATGGTCACGGTGTTGGGCTCAAAACCACATATTTCCATACTCATGTCAACACCCGAAACATATGTGCACATGTCTGACGCACTTTTGCACATGTCCGAGCCACTCCGTATCGGATCCTGTGCATTGGACCTTCGGACATCGCATTGGCCAATCGCACTTCGTGCACACTTGTCCATCCCGTGTCCTGTCCATCCGAACTAGCCTCACTAGGTGCGTAGTTATTCCTGTGCACATTTTCCGACATTTGTACCGCGTTATTACATGTCCGCAGCACCTCGTGTCTTATTACATAGGACATCGGACCCGAAATATATCGCTACTATCTTCACCTGTAGTTTTCCGAATTTCTACGTACTTACCTAAATACTCTGTAGTGACCCGTAGCAATCATCATCCAGTAGTTAGGAGCCATTTCCCGACTCTGCAGATCACCCAGAATATTCTCATAGTTCTTAGTTGCATTGCAAAATATTACCATTCATTCACCATCATACTCCATCACTCATTATACTCACGCATACCGCTCGCAACCCGACACTCATTATAAAGTTTCCGACTCATTATTGTGAATTCCAAAAGTCCGAAATCTCGGACATCACACTTTGGCTTCGGACATTGGATAAGTACCTTCGGACATCATCAGATTACCTTCAGACATCGTTTCGCACCATCGGACATTTTGTTATTTGTATTACTGACGCATTTTTACTACTGATACCAATTAGCAATCCCTTTAGGATCGAACACACTTGCTCTGCAAGTATAGCAGCATAGGTCGTGCTAAGATCTACCTAAATATTTGTTGTCTAGGTAGTACAATTTCTGCTGAGCCCAGTGGGAATCAGCTTTCTACAACTGGAGCCCACCGCGAGGGGTTCTTTTGGTTTAGTTTGATTTTTATTATCTAGGTCTTTCGCCATTCCCGATGCCCTGATCTCGATTCCGACATTCTGATCCCGATCCCGACACCCCCATTTTTGGACCCGACACACCTGATGATTTCGTATTTTGACTACAGAACATTCCTTCACTATGAACACAACCAGAAACCCGCTCAATATGCCAATATCCAGTTCCAGATCAGCCCCGCATTTTTCAGGTAACCCCTATGAAGTCTTAGAATTCCTGAAGACAGCAGATCAGCTCAGACAAAGTGCCGATTTACCCGAAAAATTTCGGATCAGGTTTGCTTTGAAATATACGGACATTGACGAAAGAGAACTATGGCAGATGTGCAATGAATGCACTGGTAACAGTTATGAAGATTTTGCTAATGCGATTTTGAACTTGTACCCAGAATTAGGTATGGACCAACGATATGTCCGACCCGACAGTCCGACCCCGACGAGTACGCCTGATCCAACACCCGAAAATTCGCAACCTGAAGTCTCCGACACCACAACCATCTCCGAACCTCAAGACCAACCCGAATTAGTATTAGAAATAGTATATCAGCCAACAGTTCCCAACACCCCGATGATCTGACCCGAAATACCCGAAATTTCGGACATTACCATCGGACACTCCGAATATAATTCAGACAACTTGGAAATATTCGCAGAAACTATTGATACTAATGCACTGACACCTGAAACACAGAGTATTGAGCTAAAGCCCCTAGGACATGAAATACCCGAAAATTTCGGATCAGAAAATTCGGATATAGGAGATATTAATACCAGAACATCAGATTATGAACTCGGACAGGCAGTATATCACTCGGGTACCACTGACAATTTCGTTCTTGCAGCAATCACCGTGTTTGCATTCACAAGTTTTGTTTATTTTTATAGGACCTTGCCATATCAGTCAGAACACCATCAGTCACCTTCCGAAACCCCGGAAAGACCTCCCTGAAGCACTCCAAAGATACCCAATGCATATCCGAAAACTTGTACCATAGTTTTACCTGTCCGAAATTCGTCATACCAGCCCCGAAAATTGAAGTACAAACATTCCGTCAAACACGTCCACCAGTATTGCCGACCCTCACACTCTCGGATCGCATTTGACATGTATGAAAGATGATGAAGAGCAGATATTAGGAAGAAACTATAGTCCGACACCCGAAAATTTCGGACATATACATATGATATATCGCACATACGGTATCACTCGTTTTACCCCGGGATTAGGCCGGAGACTTATCGTACATAACCCCACTCACTCGCAACATCGGACTAGCATATCAGACAAATGTTGGACACAGTTTCGGACACATTTTTGGACTATCGGACATCGTGCGAACTCACCCGATTATTTAGCATTTTTCCTTTGCACCGCAGAATCGCACCTGCACCATTATTTAATTAGAAATTCGGACAAACAGGCAACAAGAAACAGAAGAAGAACGGAAGTTGCACGAAGAAAACAAGTCAGATGGTACTCTGCAACCAGTATTATTTTGATATCCGAAATTTCGTGTTTTCGCCGCACTTACAATTATTTTTTCTTGTTTTTTTTTAGGCACCCTAGTGGGGGACATATAGAGTGAACTTGCGACACAGACATAGGGACAAATGGACATTTTCGGACTTCGGACATTCGGAACATCAGACCTTCAGCCATCGCATCAGAAGCTCAGACATTGCACAGTTCACACCCTCGCCGATGAAGACAGAGATAGACTGTGCAAAGAAGTTGTGAAAAGATGATAGAACATTGACAGACACATACCAGCACATTTTCGGACATGCACTCAGAAAGTTCCCGCGCATCGGACCACCTTCGGACACCCTCGCACATCATCGCATCAGCTTCCCTATGCTTGAGATACCTCACATTTTTCGAATCATTGCTGTATGTGTCGTGACATTCTGAAACAATCACACATCTCTGCTACCAAACCCGATTTTCCCGCACATTGGCCGCAGACTTCGGACATTCGGAAACATCGGACTCGACAATCGGACACTCGGACATTTGAGTAATTCATGCCCGTCACATTCACGCTGATGAAGACAGAGATATAGCATGCAGAGAAGTTGGAAAAAGATGACAGAATGTGAGCCGACACATTTTCGGACATATGTCCAGAAATTCCCGTGCATCAGACCCGACGCAATACCTTCGGACATCATTGCATATTATCGCATCACTTCCCCCCATCACCTTGCATTCATCGGATCCATTTTACTGGCACAACCGCACACCTCTGACCTTCAATCTGATATCCCAGCTCATTGATGATATTGTGACTGAGGACAGTCAATATTTAAAGCTCCTAGGAGATGTAACAATGGTCGCGGCACTGGGCTCGGAACCAGCTATTTTGATACTGATGTCAAACAGTATTTGTCCGACGCACTTCTGACTACCCCGACCCAAGTCCGACAGTCCGATGCATGTCCGATCCTGACCCGACATTCCCGTGCATCAGACCAGTCCTCCCTATGTCCTGCCCAGTTGCATCTATCCCCACTAGGTGCACATTTACTCCTTTTGACTTGCTAAGCATTGTATACAGTGTTATTACATGTTTTCTCATGGTCTGCAGTACCACATGTCCTATTACATAGGATTTCGGACCCAAAATATTGCTACTACTCTCGCCTATAGCAGTCTGAATTTCTACATAGTCACTATTTAATATCTAGTACTTCCTACCTATTGCATTACTTACTTTTCCCTACTCAGTAGTAGGATGGAAGTCATTGGATATTAGTAGTACTTAATTGTATTGCGAAATATCTATCCGCTCTTTTTCTCCGAAACACTCCGACACATCTGACACTCATTTGACCGACAATCCGACATACTTCCGACACATTCCTTCACCGTCTGATGCATTCCCAACAGTCCAACGCATAGTCCGATGCCCGACTCGACTTTGATATTTTCGGACCCGACAATTTCCCTTCGGACAAGTAGTTCTTAGCTTCAGATTATCTTCCTATTATTGATAACTAACTATCTAAACTAATACCAAACAGCTACCCCTATAGGATTGAATGCACTTGCTCTGCAAGTATAGCAGACTAGGTTGTGCTAAGATCTACCTAAATATTTGTTGTCTAGGTAGTACAATTTCTGCTGAGCCCAGCAGGAATCAGCTTTCTACAATGTCTTGAACGTCAATGTGACTTATGACAAGCTCGCATACAGGGAGTACCTCCTGCAGACAGCATCCCCAGTCAAGTTCCTCCCATTGCCATTGCCACCCATCCTGTCCTCCTTCCTGCACCCACTCATCCTCTCACAACCATCGATAATGTTGACGACGATACTATTCATGCTGACAATGAGACAGTAGGCTTGCCTCATGTCATTGCCAATCTGATTGTTGCTGAGCAGGCATGCATTTCCATCTGAAGCTACACTCGCCACAATCCACAAGCTGCTGGATACAACATGAAGGTCCCTCCTAACACATACAACAAGGCCATGTGTCGTTCGGATCGGGATTCTTGGCTTGCTGCGATGAAGCGAGAGATGAATTTGATGTCGGAGATGAACATGTATGAACTCATTCCTCTCCCTACTGACTGCAGAGCTATTGGTTGTTGATGGGTGCTTGAGTTTTGTGAGGATCTGAAAGGTGGATTAATCTTCAAAGCTAGACTGGTAGTGCAGGGTTTTTTGCAGGTACCAGGGATTGACTTCGGGAAGACATCTGCACCAGTCGCAAAAGCAGCCTCCATTCGCATCATCTCTGCACTGGCTGCCTGCAATAACTGGGAACTTGACGCCTTCAATGCAAAATGTGCTTTCCTGTGGGGCAAATTGACCGAGGACGTGTATATGCATCAACCACCCAGGTTCAAACATTTCTCCCCCAAAGGAGGGACTCTCGTGTGTCATCTTTTGTCCTCGCTCTATGGCCTGAAACAGGCAGCCTATGATTGGTATGAACTCTTGTGCGAAGTTCTCACTCACCTGGGTTTCCTTTGGATTGAGGCAGACTATGCCGTCTTCGTGTATGATCATGTCAATGGAGCTGGGGAGAGAATCATCTGCATCATCGCATGGCATGTTGACGATGGACTTGCCACTGCCAGCGATCGTCCGTTCCTTGTCTGGATCAAGGGCCAAATTGCTCAGCGATTTGGCATTACAGACCTCAGTCCCATGTCCAAGCACCTAGGCATTCAGTTTGAATGAAACAGAATTACATGTAAGTTATGGATGCACCAGACAGACTACATCATGTACCTCCTCGAAGAACATAACATGCTTGGTTGCAATTCCATCACTCTTCCAATGGATCCCCACTTCCCGTTCGGATGCGACATCGACATACATCCTCACATCAATAACCTCACATCTGAATATCGAAAAATTGTCGGTGAATTGCTCTACCTCGCCATGTACACTCGTCCTGACATTGCCATCACCATCATGAAGCTGGCTCAATACAATTGCTCCCCAGAACCACAACACTACGCAGCAGCTAAGCACCTCCTTTGTTTTCTTGCCGGTTCAACCAGTCTCTGCACGCACTATGGGGGTGCTGCTGCATCACCAGAACTGCATGGGCTTCAGTGACTCGGATTGGGCCAGTTGCCCTGAAGACTGGATCTCCATCTCCGGCTATGTGTGGTTCTTCAATGGCAGCCCAATCTCCCACTCGTCCAAGAAACAAATCACTCATGTGCTCTCCTCCACCAAAGCCGAGTATATGGCTCTTACCACTGCCATCCAGGATGGTCTATGGCTTATGTCGTTCTTCAAATGCTTGAAGATCCCTCTCACCCTTCCCCTTCAACTATTCACTGATAACACCGGTGCCATAGCTTTATCTGAAGAGGCTGCCAACCACATACGCACAAAACACATCGATCTTCGATACCACTTCATCCGTGCACACATTGAAGGAGGAACCTTCAAGCTTGCATGGTCATCTACTCATAAGAATGTCGCCAACATCTTCACAAAGTGTTTGCCGTGTCTGCTATTCTTTCGTCATCAAACAGGACTCTTGCTTGTTTCTCATTAGACAACAATGTATTGTTATGGGGGTGTGTTGTAATTCATTGTAACAATAGTCGCGGCGCTGGGCTCAAAACCCGTGTTTTTGATACTTACGTCAACTAAGTATTCATCCGACACATCCGAACATTCCAATCCCGATCCTGATGCCCGACTCCGACCCAAAAGTTTCGGACCCGACGTTTTTGCATCGGACTCATCCTCCCTATGTCCTGTCCAGTTGTATCTATCCCCACTGGTGTGTATTTACTCGTTTTCGCATTATTGAATATTACAGACAGCGTTATTACATGTTATCTACAAAAGGTGCAGTACACATGCTCTTTTACATACATTTGGACCCAATTTTGCGCTACTGTTTTCGCCTAATGCACTCCAAAATTCTACATAGTCACTATTTAATATCCTACCTATTGCATTACTTACTTTTCCTACTCAGTAGTAGGATGGAAGTCATTGGATATTAGTAGTACTTCATTGTATTGTGAAATATATATCTGCTCTTTTTCTCCAAAACATTCCAACACATCCGACACTCATTTGACCGACAATCCGACATACTTCCAACACATTCCTTCACCATCCAATGCATTCCTGACAGTCCGACGCATAGTCCGACGCCCGACTCGACTCTGATATTTTCGGACCTGACAGTTTCCCTTCGCACAAGTAGTTCTTAGCTTCAGATTATCTTCCTATTATTGATAACTAACTATCTAAACTAATACCAAACAGCTACCCCTATAGGATCGAATGCACTTGCTCTGCAAGTATAGCAGACTAGGTTGTGCTAAGATCTACCTAAATATTTGTTGTCTAGGTAGTACAATTTCTGCTGAGCCCAGTGGGAATCAGCTTTCTACATCGTCATTGTCGTCATCACTCATAGCATCTTTCCTTATTCTACTTCCACGTGCACTCACATATATAATATGTATTGTCTCGTCGTATCATACCTCAGTTGTTGTCTCCAACTACTGAGGTATGTTTCCTAGTTTCTAATCATCTCGCCGTCTCTTACTCTATGTTCACTAGCGTGTCATGCATCTAGGTATTAATAATATTTAGTTGTTGTCTCCAACTACTGAGCGTGTCATGCGTCTAGCTTCTAACAATATGCCTGCTAGAGTGTGCACTCTATGTGTAAAACTTGCCTCCAGCACTATAAACTGAACTCTGGCATGAGAATCACTCGAATTTTTTTCATAGAACAAATAGAACAATGTGTATTATGCTGGGGATAGATAACCTATGTATGACATACATAAGGATCCTATGTGGAATTGCATGTGCTAGAGTGAAAACATGAACTGGTGAAACACATGAACCTGCATGACCATCTATTATGTGGTGACATGGGTGTTCATGTTTTCCACCTTCTTGCATCAGTAAATCATGAGTTTAGTTTTTTTTTAGCTTTTTTGCATTTATTTATGTGGATCATTACAGATTGCCACTTTTCCCCACTATCTGTTTGGACATGAAAAGCTCATGCTTTGAAATTAAGTAACAAGCATATTATAAGCAGAAAAGCTATAAAAAAGTGACCAAGTCAAAAAGTGAGCTATAAGGAAGAAGTAAACAAGGTAAGAGAAAAAAGTGAGTTATGCTAACATGCTATTTTGAAGCCATGATGATCAGCATACTTGTTGACATAGAAAAGGATGAATATGTCAAGAACATAGTGGTATTTAATCATCAAGGGGAGCATATTGGTACTGTAGACAGGAATAAGGTAAGCAGAATGAAAATAAAATAGTGTCCACAGTGGCCTGACTGCTGTTGCTTTCTGCCATTGGATTTATTCATATGAAATGCTCGTGGGGCATCTTCAGGCAGAGAAGCATGGGCTAAAGATTGGTCAAAAATGAAAAGTGCATGGTGGTTTGGATGTGCAGCCTCAAAGACATGGATTGCATCTTTCATCTGTGTGAGCAATTGTGCAGTGTCCCACCAGGCATCAGAACCATTTGCATCAGGATAGATGATTTTTTGTGCTTCTTCGACAATTTCACCCTCTTTGTCATGCAGCGCCAATCAACCATCAACTGCATCAATAAATCCGCACACATGGATAATTCTTCCTCTCCCTTCTTCTGCAAAATCTATTGACCAGGTAATAAACTTATTTTTTCAGTGTTGTCAAATTATAAACTAATGCATGAACTTACTAAGCATGTGTTTTGTAATTGTCTGCATGAAAGCAAGACTTGTCATACCAAACTGCGATCATCTCAACTTCTCCAGGTGCCAAGTTTGACTCCACTCGATGCAGCTCAGGGCCTTTATAATGTGCCATATGAGACTCAAAAGCAGCCATGGCAGGTAAAAACACCTCTGGATGAGAATTTTTCACATCCTCATGCTCATGGCCATCCATGTACACTACCTTCTATAACACTGTGCACTGCCATCCCAATTTGATTAGCCATTGTCATGCTGTTCATTCACTGAGTTGCCGGAGACCAATGATGTTCAATAAAAGAATAATTGTGTTGTTAAGGGCATGTTGGAATTTGTGTGGAGTAATTTCGCCAATGGGCTGAGATGTTAGCCACTAACAACATGCCAATTGAAGCCTCTCATCTTTGAGGGGGCTTAGTGTGTTGTCTCTTCCACTACGCTTCTTGATTGGAAGTTGTTTGAATACTTGGTGATGATGTGCAAGAGCTTATACTTTTTGTGCAAAGTATGCACCTTCTCCTTTATGCCACTGATGTGCAATC